TATCAGCTGACAGCCGGGGGTGAAGGGCAGTGGAGGTGGAGGTGGGGGTAGGGGTGGGGGTGGAGGTGGGGTGGGGGTGGAGGTGTGGGTGGGTGGGTGGTGTGGGGGTGGAGATGAAGGTGTGGGTCTAGGTGGGGTGGAGGTGAGGGTGAGTAGGGGGTGGAAGGGGAGGTGGAGGTGGAGGGGGGAGGTGGAGGTGGAGGGGGGAGGTGGAGGTGGAGGGGGGAGGTGGAGGTGGAGGGGGGAAGTGGAGGTGGAGGGGGGAAGTGGAGGTGGAGGGGGGAAGTGGAGGTGAAGGGGGGGAAGTGGAGGTGAAGGTGAAGGTGAAGGTGAAGGTGAAGGTGAAAGTGGAGGAGGAGGAGGAGGAGGTGGAGGATTTCAATACCGCGAGGGCAGCTTACGGTACCGAAGTTACGGGCGTTGCGTGCCATAGCGTGGCTTCTCGTGTCTTCCTCGCATTGCCAACTTTTCTCTCTCTTTTCGTTTATTTCCCGTTTCCGTTTCGTTCGCGTTCTTTCGTTCGGCCTCTCCTGCTTTGCATTTCTAATCTCTCATCTCTTCCCTTCTTACTTGCTCACTTCTCTCCTTTGTTTAGTTTTCCTCTTTTATCTCTCCTCTTCTTGCCGTGCTTTCTCTCCTTCCTCTCCTTCTCCCTCTCTTTCTCTCTCACTTGCTTCTCTTCTCCCCTCGTGTTTCTCAATCCAACCTTGTCTTTATCTGATCTCTCTCTCTCTCTCTCCTTCCCTTTCTCTGTCTTATCCTCTTCTCGCTCTCCCTCCTAACCTTAAATAGTTTTTCCTCTCTCTCTCTCTCCCTCCATCCGTACTACACCATCTCCTCCTCACTCCCATTTCTTTTTCTTCCTCCTCCCCCTCCCTTCCATTTCCTCCTCCCTCAACTTTTACCTTTTCTCTTTCCCTCCCTCCTGCTCCTCCACCTTTACTCTACCCTCCCTCCCTCCCTTCACCTTTACTAAACCCTCCCTCCCTCCCTTCACCTTTATTCTCCCCTCCCTTCACCTTTATTCTCCCCTCCCCCCTTCCCTCCCCTTCTCTCCCTCCCTCCCTCCCCTCCCCTCCTCTCCCCTCCCCTCCTCTCCCCTCCCCTCCCCGCCCTCCCTCCCCTCCCTCCCTCCCTCCCTCCCTCCCCTCCCTCCCTCCCTCCCTCCCTCCCTCCCTCCCTCCCTCCCTCCCTCCCTCCCTCGCAGGCAGCCCCGGTTTTGTTTTACAGCCTTCGGTGCAGGATGTCGAAGGCTTTTCCCCCGGCCGAGGTGGAGTGGATGGATGTCCTCTCTTTTCTTTTCTCCCCTCCCTTCTCTCTGCTCTCCTCTCGTGTCTTCACTTCTCCATCGTCTTTTTATCTCTTCTTATTTCCTTTTTTCATTTTTCTTTTCCTCCCCATCCTCTTCCTCCTCCTCCCCCTTCCTCTTGCTCCCCTTCCTTCTCCTCCTCTCCTCCTCCTCCTCCCTCTCCTCCTCCTCCTCTCCTCCTCCTCCTCCTCTCCTCCTCCTCTCCTCTTCCTCTTCCTCTTCCTCTTCCTCTTCCTCTTCCTCTTCCTCTTCCTCTTCCTCTTCCTCTTCCTCTTCCTCCTCCTCCTCCTCCTCCTCCTCCTCCTCCTCCTCCTCCTCCTCCTCTTCCTCCTCCTCTTCCTCTTCCTCTTCCTCTCCCTCTCCCTCTTTCTCTTTCTCTTTCTGTTCCTCCCCCTCTTCCTCTTGCTTTTCCTTCCTTCTTCCAATGGGTCTTGACGTCGCCGGCCGCCCTGAGGAGCCTTGTATCGATCACGTGCGTGTCCGAGTCCGGTGACCCCCTCGGGGCACTCTCGCGGCGTGGCATGCAAGGACGGGAAAGAGCCATGGACGGGACAGGGCCAAGGACGGGACAGGGCCAAGGACGGGAGAGAGCCAAGGACGGGACAGGGCCAAGGACGGGACAGGGCCAAGGACGGGACAGGGCCAAGGACCGGACAGGGCCAAGGACCGGACAGGGCCAAGGACGGGGCAGGGCCAAGGACGGGAGAGAGCCAAGGACGGAACAGGGCCATGACGGGACAGGGCCAAGGACGGGAGAGAGCCAAGGACGGGACAGAGCCAAGGACGGGACAGGGCTAAGGACGGGAGAGAGCCAAGGACGGGACAGGGCCAAGGACGGGAGAGAGCCAAGGACGGGACAGGGCCAAGGACGGGAGAGAGCCAAGGACGGAACAGGGCCAAGGACGGAACAGGGCCAAGGACGGGAGAGAGCCAAGGACGGAACAGGGCCAAGGACAGGAGGGGTTGGCCTGGCACTCGGAGGGAGGCACTAAGATTGTGGAAGAGGAAATTAACAACTTTTGTATTTGTATTTGGGGCACTCTCTCTCTCTTTCCCTCTCTCTCTCTTTCCCTCTCTCTCTCTTTCCCTCTCTCTCTCTCTCTCTCTCTCTCTCTCTCTCTCTCTCTCCTTTCCCTCTCTCTCTCTTTCCCTCTCTCTCTCTTTCCCTCTCTCTCTCTTTCCCTCTCTCTCTCTTTCCCTCTCTCTCTCTTTCCCTCTCTCTCTCTTTCCCTCTCTCTCTCTTTCCCTCTCTCTCTCTTTCCCTCTCTCTCTCTTTCCCTCTCTCTCTCTTTCCCTCTCTCTCTCTTTCCCTCTCTCTCTCTTTCCCTCTCTCTCTCTTTCCCTCTCTCTCTCTTTCCCTCTCTCTCTCTTTCCCTCTCTCTCTCTTTCCCTCTCTCCCTCTCTCCCTCCCTTCCTCCCCCTCTCCCTCCCTTCCTCCCCCTCTCCCTCTCCCTCTCCCTCTCCCTCTCCCTGTCCCTGTCCCTGTCCCTGTCCCTGTCCCTGTCCCCTTCCCTCCCTTCCCCTTTCCCCCTCCCTCCCTCCCTCCCTCCCTCCCTCCCTCCCTCCCTCCCTCCCTCCCTCCCTCCCTCCCTCCCTCCCTCCCTCCCTTTCCCCCGTCCCACCCCCCATTGTCTCTCTCCCCTCTACCTCCCCCTCTCCCCTCCTCTCCCTCTCTCTTTCTCTCACTCTCGTAGGGCACTCAAGGAGGCGACGAGGAGGCTTGGGTCCTGGAGACGCTTTTCCCGGCGGTCTCCTCCTTGGGATGGGCAACTGGTGGCCGTTTTGGAGGGGCTGAGGGCGTGGGCGTGGGCGGGGGCGGGGGCGGTAGACGTACTCGTGGGCGGGAGGGGATGGGTGGTAGACGTGGATGTGGTTGTGGATTTGGTTGCGTGAGTGTATGCGTATGCGTGGGTGTGTATGAGGACGCGGGCGCGGGAATGGGCGTTCAGAAATGACGGAAAGGGTTATTGGCGACGCATTCCAGCCGCGCGCGCGAGTCCCCCGGAGAATTGTTGCGTGGAATTGAATCGGTCGGGTCGGTCGGTGGGTGTCGGGGAAGATGGACAGCTCTCAGGCCCTTTGTTTGGGCTGCTGTGTTGTGTTTATGTTTGGGTTATTTTATGGGGGCAAGAGCGTAGGGTCGTGATTCTGCCATTTTATTTTTATTTATTTTTGTGTTTAGATTTTTTGTTCTTTTTTCTCTCTATTACTACTGCTTTTCGTTTTTTTTTTGTATTATGCTTATTAAAGTCTATATATTTATTTTTGTCCTTATTCGTATTATTCTTAATCTAACGAACTTTTACGTTTCTTATATTTTCATATTATTCCTCCTCATCCTCCTCTCCCTCCGTCCCTTCTCCCTCCCTCCCTCTCTTCTCCCCCATCCCCTTTTCTCCCTCCCTTCTCCCTCCCTTCTCCCTCCCTTCTCCCCCCCCCCCTTCTTCTTTCTTGCGTCCGTCCTTGTGTCGCCTGTCGCTCCGCCTCCTGTCGCATGTAACTCGAAATCGATCGTCGGCCAGATTGTCTCGAACGGCCGCCCGAAAGGGATTGCCCCTCGACGACGGCGACGGCGACGACCATGAAACGTTAATAATTCATGTCGAGGTGTTTGTGCATTGTGGGTTGCACCTGGCTATTGATCGGGCACGAGTAAGCGGCAGCAGGGGCAGTGGAGGGGGAAGCAGGAGTAGCAGCAGGAGGGGTAGGAAGGAGGGGTAGGAGGAAGGGCATGACGCAGTACGGAGGGAGGAGGGCATGGGGATGGAGATGGGGAGGGGATGGGAGGATGGAGGGGAAGATAGGGAGGGGGGGGATGAAGGAGGGAAGTAGAGATGGATGAGGGTGAGGATGAGGATGAAGATGGGCATGAAGATCGCGATGGGAGTGGAAATGGGAATAGGAATGGGAATTTTGAAGGGTGGGAGGGAAATATGGAAAAAAATGCATGCTGTTCAGCCTTTGCACTGTTGCACGCTTCACCTGTCAGGAGACAATGTTCTCGGACACGCTCTCTCTCTCTCTCTCTCTCTCTCTCTCTCTCTCTCTCTCTCTCTCTCTCTCTCTCTCTCTCTCTCTCTCTCTCTCTGTGTGTGTGTGTGTGTGTGTGTGTGTGTGTGTGTGTGTGTGTGTGTGTGTGTGTGTGTGTGTCTGTCTGTCTGTCTGTCTGTCTGTCTGTCTGTCTGTCTGTCTACCTATCACTCTTTTTATCCTTCCATCTATGTATATCTATCTACATTCTTCCCTCCAGCACCCCGTCCTTTCTCTTAGCATTATCACGTTCTATACACACCGTTGCCATCTGTTTGTTTACCTGCGCGCGGCCGCCGTACTCGCTATACCGTGAGTGAGTAAGGTTTCCCGTTGCCTTTGTTGACGGAAAGCGGAAGCGCCCAAGTGCCTTTTACGTGGTGGCGCATTTTGTTTTGTTTTTGTTTTTTGTTTTGTGACGGACTGGAAAGAGGGAAGGTTATTCTGTTTGGCGTTTTTTTTTTTTACCCATTTGTGTGGTAGTCATAAGGTTTTTTTTTCTAAAAATGGGTTTGGGATTCGTAGTAGTTGTGTTAGAGCGAGAGTAATGATGGTGAAAAGTAAAGGAATCTTGACTAATGATTATTTTAAGATAAGTTTTTTTTAAGCGACTCTATAGTCCCACACCGCTCATGTGTCTCTTCTCTCCCCCCCACGCCAGCAAGAAGATCGAGAGCATCGGGAGGATGACGGCCCTGACGCAGGAGGAGGTGGTGTCCCACACGCGGACGGTGGTGCAGGGGTTGGAGGCCCTGCGGAATGAGCACAACTCCATCCTGACGGGCATCAACAACTCCATCACCTCCGCCCAGCACCACCCGCCGGACTCCAATGTCTTCTCGGAGAAGGCCGGCATCATACAGAAGTCCCTCGACCAGATCGAGCTCGGGCTCTCCGAGGCTCAGGTGAGTTAGGGTGGGGGTGGGGCGGGCGTAGGGAGGTTGTGGAGGGGTAGTGGTGGTAGTGATAGATTCAATTAGATTAATGGTAAAACACTGTCATGTTGATGCAATGGTAGGAAAACCCACAGTGCACAAACTAGATTTACTAAAAATGAGACCGCAGTTTCGAAATCCACCAGGATTATAACTGGAAGATGGAATCCAGGTGGATTTGGGAACTGCTGTCTCATTTTTAATATATCTAGTTTGTGCATTGTGGGTTTTCTACCATTCAATTAGGTGTTTATTTATAAAGATGGTGGTAGCACTCCAAGTAATTATATTGTTGTTATTAGAAGTGAACTTGTAATATATTTCATCGTCATCATCATCGTCATTAACATCGTCGTCGACAAGACCTTCGATGTCCATAATCGAAATAGTAAGTGAAATCCGGCGGATGGATCCCATAGAGTTTTTACGGTCGGGCCTCTCGTGGGCGGAGTATAGAAGTCGATTAATTTTCAAGCTTCTGTAATTCAGACTGTCCCTTATCCCAGTTGAGGGTGGTTCGTTAACTTCAACGCCGAGGTTCGTCAATTAGGTTGATTTTATGGCTCGATTATCGTCAGGATTCGATTATATATTGGCCATTAGGTGGAACGAACGAGCAGTTTTAAGGTGATGTGTTGAGTAACGTAATTTAAGGCAAGCTGGAAAATACGTAAGGCTTAAAGCTGCGTAGTCATAGAATGAGCTCTGTTCACACCTAGGTTCTGTAGCACGTGTTCGTTATATTTTTTTCTCGTGTTTCTCTTTACCATTTATAGTGATCAGTAATCTTTTCTGCATTTCCCTTTTCCTTTGCATCCTTCTTTTCTCCTGCCTCTCTTCTCCCTCAGTCCCCCCTTTCCTTTTCCTGCGTTTACCACCCCCCACCCCTTCCCCCCCTCCCCCTCATCCACGTT